GCGGCGTCGCCGGCGGCGTCAGCAGCCGCCCCGCGCCCGCGCCCGCGCCCGTCGTCTGTCCCCCGCCCTCCTCCGCGTCCGCATCGGACTCGGACCCCCCGTCGTCGAGCACGTCCGCGCTCAGCGGCGGCGTGCTGCCCGGCGTCGCGGCGCGGCGCGGATGCGCGTACCCGGCGTCGCGGCGCGCGGGCGCGTGGCCGTTCGCGGTGTAGGCGAGCGCCGCCAGCGCCGCGTACGCGCTGCTCTTCCGCGCGTGCGCGCTCCGCCTGTCCTCCCTCGCGCGCGCCCTCTCCCCTCGCTCCCGTTCCCGTTCCCGTTCCCGCTCGTCGACGCCCCACCCGGAGTGGGAGGACGCATGCGACGGCGCGGGCTCCGTGCGCGCGCGCGCGCGCATCGCCGCGTGCGGGCTGTCCGCCCTGTCTCTGTCGCTTTGCTGCTGAGACGGCGGGCGCTGGTACGGCGCCGGGTGCTCCTGCTGGTGGTGCGGCGCCGACTGCTGCTGCTGGTACGGCGACACCCGCGCGAACTCCGTGTACGTGTGCCCAGCCACGCCGAACGCAGGCGCGGGCGCAGGCGTGCGCGGGGACGCGGGGGCCGTGTGCCGCCGCGGGGTCGTCGGCTCCGCGCTCCCCCGTTCGCGTTCTCTGCTTGCTTGCGCCGTGCGTGGGGCGGGCGAGTGCGGGTGTGCGGGCGAGTGCGGGGACGCCGTGTGCTGCGAGGAGGGGGGAGGGAGTCAGCGACGGGGAACGCAGGAAGCAAGCAAGGAACGCAGGAAGGAAGGACGAGGCAAAATGAATGGATGAATGGACGAAGAAGCAGACGTGGGACGTTCGCACGACGGCGCGCGGGATAAGGCCGAGTATGCCCCGTCCCGTCCCGACCCGTCCGCGTCCGCGTCCGTGGCGAAAGCAATTAATAGTATAGACAAGAATAGCGGAGACGCCAAGGACGGTGGGAACGAAAAGAAAAGAAAGCGCGAAGGAAGGGGGACATGAAGAGAGGCAGGTGGGACATGCGCAGAATAAGGACGGCGGTGTGCATACATCCACCCGCCCCGCCGCCAGCCGAAAACACGGCTCCGGCAGCGCACCCCGCAGCATACAAGGGAGCGGCCACGCCCCGACCAAGTGCGCGCGCCACACACCTCCGCACCAAGCCACCACGCGACACCGCGCGGTCTCCCCGCGTGCATCCGCAGCCGCAGCCGCCGCGAGGCCCCCAGAGGATATGGAGAGGCCGCGCCCCGCCCACAGTCTGCGCGCCACACGCACCGCCACTGCGCGCCCTCGAAGAGTGGGCAGCTCCAGCACCACCCGCACTGCGCCGTCGCCACCCGCACCTCCGCACACCGCACACCACATCCCCAGACCGCGCCGAACAAAGAGAAAAAGGGAAGCGGAAGAGGACGAAAAAGACGCGCCGCGCGAAGGCGAAAAGGGGGAGTGGAAGAAATAGAGTAAAGGATAGTATAGTGCAGTAAGGTGAGACAGGGGGGAAACGGAAATAGAAGCGAAAAGAAAGGAAAAGAAAACGCGCATGGGGATGACAGAAAAACCGAAAACAAGCCGAACAACATCACATCCAAAGCGAGAAACACACCTGCTGCCACCACCCTCCGCTCCCCTGCTGCTCGTCGTCGTGCGTCCGCCGCCGCGTCGGCGTCCGCGGCGTCCCGGGCCTGCTCAGTGGGAGCGCCGTCGTCCGCGGACTCGCAGGCATCCGCGGGCTCGTCGGCACGGGCGTGGGCGTCGTGGGCGTGCCCGCGAGCACGCGCTCGAGCCGCGCGCGCAGCGCGTCGTGCTCCCGTTCTCGCTCGCGCTCGTATTGCGGGTAGTGCTGGGGCGTCGGCCGCCGCGGGACGGGCGCCCGCACCGCTGCATGCGCATGGGGCGCAGGGGCGGACCCGCCCTCGGCGTCGCCGCCGTACGCCCTCGCGCCCTGCGCCGCCGCGGGAGCGTTAGACGCGGATGCAGAGGCGCCGCGCGGGCGGGCGCCCGTGCGGCTGAGGGCGTCGCGCAGGAGCTGCTCGGAGCGCGGGGTCTTGCTGCGCTCTGCGTCGGAGTGTGGGTGCGGGGTAGGGGTCGGGGAGGACATGCGGAGGGCGGGGAGGAGGAAGCCGAGGCCGAGGCCGAGGCTGGGGACGGCGGCGGGGAGGGAGGCGCGCTTCGCGGCGCGTGGTGTGTGCGGCGGGTGCGGGGGCGTGCTGGGCCGGTGCAGCGGGGTGTGGACGGGCGGCGTGTGCGGCCGGTGGACGGGGGTGTGGGTGGGCGGCGTCGCGGGGCCTAGCGGCGAGGGCGGCGGACGCAGGCTCGCGTTGCTTGGGATGGGGGACAGCAGGCCGAGGCTCTGGGTGTGGCGGTGGCGGGTGCGGGTGCGCGGCGGGGTGGGCGTCGCTGTGGGGGCGTTAGCGCTCGTGTGCGGGGTAGCGAGAGGAAAGAGGCTATTAAGAAAAGAAGAGTACGGCACTGACAGGATAGCTCGTCCCGGGGTAGGTCCTGGGTGTGATGCATGTCTCGGAGGATGTATAGGTAGGAAGTGTGTACGGCGCGTGCCTATCCTCACGGTGCACACGAGGCGTCTATTCGCGTCTAGACACCGGCGTGCTGAGATCCAAGGCTTGTGGTGGTTTAGTGCAAAGAGGGGGGTACGAGGAGGGGTGAGACTTTTTTCCGTTGCTGTGCCGCATGGGGATAACTGACATAGCACCCCACTTTCCTAATTTCCAACCCATTATTAAGACCCGTCACGCGAGTGTCGCCAGTCACGTCACGTCCATCAAATTCGACTGCGGCCGTTTCAGCTCGACTCCGTTCCCGCCCGGCCGCGCCTTTCTGTTGTCAACGCCAACTTGTTGTCTTGTTGTCTTGTTCTCTGTTCTCGATGTGTGGGCACTCGCATACACCTGGACCTTCCACGCACCGCCACCCGGCCATCAATCCCTGCCCCGCGCTGACCAGCAGTAACCATTGGATGAATTCCGACATGGACGCTACGCCGGTGATATCATCCCCGCGTCATGATCCTGCAGGACGCTCTACCTACGCAATGCTCTCATCTACTTTCAAGGATCCGCGACGTGTACGTGTTGATGCACGACCGCCAGGCACCACGCAGGTGACCGGTGACCAGTCCGCCCACTGTTCCTATGGGCGTGCTGAAATCGTTGGAGACGCGGCAAATTCGCGAGTAGCCACGAATTCGAACCTGAGCATCGGAGCAGCGGTACTCCCGCGACGCGCAACGGCAAATCTCGCGCAGCGCAACTTTCCGCTACTATGCGCCCCGGCATTCATTGTACGTGCTCGCCGTTCGAATTCGTCTGGCACGCATCTTCGTTCTGTTCTTCCTCCGCGCGTGCCGCACTCTTGTTAACCGAGTACTACTGCCGCACCCTAGACGTAAGTGTACGCCGGACCGATGCTATCGATTCCGCGCGCTAGCAGTGATCCCGAATCAGTCTGGTGGTTCTGTAAATCCCCCGACCCATCACGATTCAATTAAGCAAACCCCCGCGCGCGGAGGAACGAACGTACACGAGTCAGCCGCGGTGCCAAACCTAGTCGCAGCGGCCATTATTTTAGTTTCCTACGGAACTCAGTCATTGAAACCGAAGACCCGGTGGTGAAGACGATAAATCACACCCGTGAGTGTTGCAGAAGGAGACACATCTATGATTCCTTTTTTCTCGAATCAGTCTAGTATTACCGTAAATCCATCACGATTCAATTAAGCACACCCTGCGCCCGACGGAACGAACGTATATGACTCACCCCGACGTACCAAACCAAGGCAGTCGGGCTTAACTGTGCGATACACGTTCAGTCAAGCCGCCGACCCAGTGGCGACGCGGATAAATCACACCCACAACGGGTTTCAGTGCAGTCCCCTGTTCGAACAAGGGCCGGGTCATGACATTCTGGTTTTCTTTTTCTTCTTCTGGTATAAGAAATTTAAAAAATGCTGGACTGTGGTAGATCTACTGGGATATTGCACCGAATGTCTCATTGATTTTGAAGCTGCAAGTCGGAGTCCCTTGTTCGACCCAAGGCTGGGTCATGTCCAATAAGGCTGCTGGCATTTTTTGTAGGGAAAATAATTCAGGCTTGCTGCAGTCGGGTTCACAAAGCAAAAGCAGACCCTGTAGTGAAGTGTATCACACCCACACCCAATAAATTGGCCTCGTTGTGTATAATAATTGGTGGGAGTCCCTTGTTCGAACCAAGGCCGGGTCGTATCTTGGCAATTTGTTTTTTCTGGCAAGTATAAAAATGTCGATCCCTCTGCTGAGTTGTAGTGCATTTGTTGGGATGTGATTCGAACAGAGAAGGCCTGGTGGTGAGATGCATCACACCCGCACCCATTCATAGCACAAATCTAAAGGGTACAGTCGGGAGAACTAAGGGCAGGCCATATCTTGTGGGGAAGGTTCTTTTTGGAGCCAACATAGGCAGTATAAATTCCAGATAAAACTCTGTAGGAAAATAGGGAGGACGAGGCCCGGTGGGGTGCATCACACAATGCAGGTGAGACTCTGCAAGTGGGAGCCCCATGTTCACACCAAGGCTAGGTCCTGGCATATAGTCCAGGATGTTTTGGTGTGCTGCTGAGGACCAAAGCACTGTGCTATTTTCAGTTGAGATCAAATTCGAACAGAAGGCCGTGTGATGAACCGAATTTGAATGCATCACACCCACAATATTCGGATTGGGTCCCTTGTTCGAATTATGGCCAGGCCATATTGGACAAATTGTTCTCTTTTTTGAAAGCCAGCAGGGCAGTATAAATCCTTGATAAAGTCTGAAGGAAAATAGGGAGGAGAGGCCTGGTGGTGAACTGCGTCACACCCACACCCAATGGAAAGCGTGATGTGTCGGTGGGAGTCCCTCGTTCGAACCAAGGCTGGGTCGTGCTCTCAGGGAAGGAGGATTTTCTTTTTCTGTCACCCAATTGAACTGTGATATATTCAGTTGTGACAGCACTGCTGAGCAGAAGAGGAAGAAGGCCCAGTGGTGAAGTGCATCACACCTGCTGAATTTATCATAAAAGTAGTGAAGCTACAAGCAGGAGTCTCTTGTTCGAACCAAGGCCAGGTCATCGTCAGGAATTTTTTCATTTTTCATTTTTTGTGTCAAGGATAAATAAAATAATAATATGGAAATGTCGATGTTGGTCCTGTGCTATATTTACTTATCAGGATAAAGTTTGAACAGAGAAGACCTGGTGGTGAACTGTATCCCACGAAGAGAGTATCAACGGGTACGAGTCACTTGTTTGAACCAAGGCCAAGTCATTGCACATCAACCATGGGTTTTTTCTGTCAAAGATAAAAATGCTGGTCCCTCCACTGAACTGTGTTAGTTTTGTTGGGATAGAATTTGAATACACAAGGCCTGGTGGTGAAATGCATCAAACCCACACTTGATTGATTAGTGATACAGGATTTGTAAGTGCGAGTCCCTTGTTCGAACCAAGGCCAGGTCATGTTCAGGGCCCAATGATGTTTTTTTTTCTGTCAAATAAATAAAAAACCTCTGTTGAATTGGGCCATATTCACTTGAGGTAGTATTCATAGGGAGCAGAGGAAAGACCTGGCGGTGGGATGTATCACACCCACACCCAATAAAAATGAATGCATGGCTCGCACATTGCAAGTTGGTGGGAATCCCTTGTTCAAACCAAGGCTGGGTCTTTGTCTGTCACCTCCTCTATCTTTTGATCAGGAAAATTAGGGCTGGAAGTTGAGTTTAAAAAGTTGGAGGGGAAAGAAGGCCTGGTGGTGAAATTTATCACACCCGTAAGCAATGACGGGATTCAAGCTGGTGAGAATCCCTTGTACGAACCAAGGCTGGATCTTTATCTGTAACCTCCTCTATCTTTTGATCAGGAAAAAAATTAGGGCTGGAAGTTGAGTTTAAAAAGTTGGAGGGGAAAGATGGCCTGGTGGTGAAATTTGTCACACCTGGCGTGTGCAATGATGTGACTCAAAATTGCATAATAGTGGGAGTCCCTTGTTCGAACCAAGGCTGGGTCATGTACATGTTGGCTAATCGTTCTTTTTTGAAAAGCCAGCATGCACAGCATAAATCCTTGATACAACTCTGAAGGAAAATAGGGAGGAGAGACCTGGTGGTGAAGTGCATCACACCCACACCCAATACATAATATCGTGTGTAGTTGGTGGGAGTCCCTTGTTCGAACCAAGGCGAGGTCATTAGTAGAGCGGCCTGTTTTTTAAAAACTTTTTTGAGAGTCAAGACCGCATATTTATTCACGAAAGCCTGAACAGAAAGAACCACACCCGCTGGCCACAGTGAATTCATAGCCACAAGACAGATCCGAGAGCCTGAAATCTCTCCATCCTCGACCATGACGCTGACCGAGCTTTCAGATATTTAACGAGGACGCTGCTTGTGCGCACAAGCCTCGGTTCAGAGCGCGTGCATCCGCCGTAGCCGACGCCACTCACACATTCCCAGAACGCAGACACCCCAGCCGATCCACCCGCGCATAATATACGGCCCAACTCTACAGGAAAATCTACACCACTACATGTAATCATCGAATGTGCGCTAACGACACAGCATCCACAACGCGCCACCACCCACGACGCACCGCTACGCATCCCCCCCACCCGCGCCCACATCGACGAGCACCGTCTCGCCGATCGCGCACACGCCGAACGCGCCGGGGGGCACGCGCGCCGCGGCGCACGCGGCGGCGAGCTCTGCGGGCGGCGCGAGCACGGGCTCGGTGGTGAGCGTCCATGTGCTGGGGGGGCGGGAGACGTTAGTGATATGTAGGAGAAGGGGGGGTGGAAACAGAGGGAGGAGAGGACGGAAGGAAGGAGGGTGGGAGAGGAAGAAACGCACCCCCAATGCATGCCGAGCGCGCGGCGCGCGCGGATGTCGTGGAAGATTGCGACGCTGTCGCGCGGCGCGCAGTGGATGTTCGACATCGGGCGGCGCGGGGCGTATGCGCTATGCAGAATATCGAATCAATATTAAAAGTAAGAACGCAGCAGGGAGACGCAGACGCACCCAATCGGAATGAGCGCGAGGTCGAATCCGCCAAAGCGCGCGCCGACCTCCTTGAAGGCGGGACACACGGGGAGCGTGTCGGGGCCCTCGTCCGAGGAGGACGGCACCGCGCGGTAGCCCGTGTCGCCGCCGAAGTACACGCGTGCCCCTGCCCCTTCGCCCTCGGCACCCGCGCCGCCCTCGCTAGCGCGCGGCACCACGCCCTCGACGACCCACGCGCCCCACAGCGTGCGGAAGCGGTCGTGCAGTCCGCGGCCGGTAAAGTGCTGCGCGGGCGTGAGGGTCACGTCGAACGGCGCGACGCCGCCCGGGGGCGCGACGCGGCGCGCGTCCCACCAATCGAGCGTCTGCACCTGCGGCGGCGCGGATTTGGGGCGGTGGGGGAGGAGGGAGGTGAGGTACGGCACGTTGCCGAGGGGCGCGAAGACGGGCGGGGCGGGCGTGCGCGCGAGGAGCGCGGTGAGGGACGCGGTGTCCATGTGGTCGTAGTGGTTGTGCGAGATGACGATCGCGTCGATCGCGGGGATGTCGTGCAGGGCGCAGGGCGGGGCTGCGGGATTTCAGTTTCCAGGACGAGAAGGATGGCTGGGCCGACGCACGGGTGAAGCGCTTGGGGCCGATCCACTGGGTGGGCGAGCAGCGGTCGCTGAACACGGGGTCGAAGAGGATGCGCGCGCCGCGCAGGCCCGCGGTCGCGGACGGCAGCTCGACGAGGAAGCAGGCGTGGCCGAGCCACGTCGCCTTGATCTTGCGCGCGTCGGCGTCGGCGCCCCACGTCGGCGCCTGGATCGGTATCTGCGCGACGTCCGCGACGGGTGGGGCGAACATCGTCTTGGGGCCGAGGGTGACCATCTGCGGGAGCGGTCAGCAGACCCAGGGGAGGGCATTGGAGCGTGCCTCGAGGACGTCCCAGGCGTCGGTCCAGCCCTTGCGCCAGCTCGGCCACGGGTTCTGGAACTGCGTCGGGGTGGCGTTCACCCAATGGCTCGGCGTGCCACGCTTCTCCCGTTCTACGCGCGCGGAGGCTTGGGCAGAGGTTTCTGAGACTTGAATCGTATCTGAGGAGGACATGGCTGCCTCTTCAAGCCGCAGTACTTGTTAAATACACGCCGGCGGCGATGCGACGCGTAATGTGCAGCGGGACAGCAGAGGTGCAGACGTAGTCTCTCTTGACAGACGCTTCATCGGGTACCTCGTTCGATGAAGTGCAGACACCAGTCGTGGCCGAATGTGTTCCTGTTTGGAAATGATCGCGGCACTATCTAAAATTAAATCCACGTGCTACCAAACGCCACCTAAATCGCCCTCCCGCTAAGGCGCCCGTCGCCAAGGCTTCCTCCGTCGCCCTTTCCCCTCAAACTTATGGTTTTTGTGCGCGCGCACGGACCTCTCGACAAGCTCACAGTCACGAGAAAATTGGGTGAGTACCATGCCTACAAGTCTAATTAAATCGAGTAAACAGCGCAAACCGAATTTCTACAGTTCCAAGTCCGACTTGCCTGGTGTCATACCACTACAAATCCAATTCTAACCCTAATAAATGCGCAAAATGAATTCCTAGGGTTTCACAGTCAGAGGGCTTGCCCCGGGGAAAAGGCATGCGCAGCGAAAGGGAAAATATAGGGTTTGGTGTCAAATGTACGGTTTTCAATTCCGGCGCGCGCAGCGCAAGCAAAATTGAATTTCTAGCGTTGGCAATTAAAATTTTGCGAGTTCTGGCATCGTCGCGTGGCGTCTTGAGGGCGAAAGCGAGCCCCGCGCAGCGGGAAAGAAAAAATGGAACTAAGCCCGAATTAGCAACAAAAGCGCGCAGGAAGGCAAGGGAATCACCTCGGAAAAGGTGCGGCGCGGTACTCCGCCGAAACTCGAATCGGTCATGGTGAGTGGAAATAACAAAGTTAAAAAAAGTCAAAGCTGCGGACGAGCGGTGACATCGAAACCCCGACTTGAAAACCGCCGCGCCGCCGAAATATCAATCTGAGAAAGAGGAGGTGTGCCGGGATTGGGAGTGGTTTGTGGAAGTCCAGAGAGATGGCGTGGTCCGCGGGGAAGCCAGGGAATGAAGAAAAAGGTCGGGAACCGACACGATGGGGACGTCGAGCAGTGGTCCGCGGCAAGTCGAAATAACGAATTTCCAAAAAATGAGCGCGACACGACGCTCGGGGGCCGGTCCGCGGGACGTCGAAATATCGAATAAAGAAAGGTCGGGGCGGGTCTGGGGGACGTCGGAAAGCTGGACTTGGGGCATGGATCACCGGAACGTCTGGGATCGGAGATTGCTCGCGGGATGTCGAAATAAGGAGTCGATAAAGTCGGGAGCAGCGCGGGGGACCGGGAGTGGTTCGCAGTTCACTGCGCACCGCCGGCGAGCGGGGACGATGGGGAGCTTGAGCCATGGTCCGCGGGACGTCCAAAAAATGAAAAAAAAAATGGTGGGGTGGCCGCGATAAAGTCGGGAGCGGCGCGGGGGACCGGGAGTGATTTGCTGCGCGCCGGCGAGCAGGGATGGTGGAGAGCTTGAGCCGTGGTCCGCGGGACATCCAAAAAACGAATAAAAATTTCGGGCTGGCGCTTATCAGAACTGGTTCGCGGGACATCCAAATAACCAGTCGAAATGTGTACGGGCAGCGCTGTGCGCCACCGACAAGCGGTGACGATGAGTGCTTGAGCGGTGGTCCGCGGGACGTCGAAAAAACAAATAAAAAAGGCGGGGTGGCGCTGTGCGCCGCCGACGAGCAGGGATGATGGGGAGCTTGATCCGTGGTCCGCGGGACGTCGAAAAAACGAAAAAAAAAGGCGGGGTGGCGCTGTGTGCCGGCGACGAGCGGGGATGATGGGGAACATGAGCTGTGGTCCGCGGGACGCCGAAAAAACGAATAAAAAAATTCAGGTCGGCACTATTGGAGATAGTTCGCGGGACGTCGAAATAACCAGTCAAAATGTGGACAGACAGCGCTGCGTGCCGCCAACGAGCACGGAGAATGAGAGCTTGAACCGTGGTCTGCAGGACGTCGAAGCAGTGTAATGAAATAGGAGGGGGCGGCGCGCAGCGCCACC